CCCTGAACACAAACGACAACACCTTGTACAGTAGTCGGGCCAGCCTGCTGGCCAAGGATCTGGCCCATTTGGTCTATTTGGTCTGCGCATGACTCCTGGCAAGCATGGCAATGCTGGGGAGTAGTTCCTGTAAGCGTTTGATCCAAGTTAAAGTGTGGAACACAACTGTGAGGAACACATGCACTGTAAGAAACCCAAGCAATGGAATTGCCTCCTCATCTGTCAAGAAGCTTTTCCATTCCTCCTGCAGGGTGAAGGGTTCAGAGGTACTGTAATGTATATACTGCATTGTATTGTATACTGTCACGTACGGTACTTCAATGTGCCACGGACCGTTGGTGGAAGATGCCTGCCTTCGCAATCAGATCAAAGTGGGCAGCAGGCTGTCCAGCACCATCAAAGGAACAGTGTGACCACAAAGACACAGGTTCGCCATCGCTATCTCCATATGTTTGAGGGGCTGACAGACCAGGGGCCATCTTATGCCCTGTGAACATGAGGAGATTGAGATGAAAGCGCTCGTGCGGCCCACTCCTAAACAATCAGCTCGCAAACGAGTACTGTAAGCGATTCAACTTTTGTTCTATGTTAGTATTGTTATTGTTGCGCCCCACATGCTTGCAATATACTGCAATCTAAGCGGCGATGTCACCATGTTCAGCGCTGTGGCCTTGCTCCAGCCGCTCACGTGTGTCTTCAGGCATCATAGGCAACTGGCTTGCCCATGCTTTTACAGCCTTGACATCCTTTTGAGTGTCCTCAAAGGAAGAAAAGCCCAGGGCACTCCTGGGACGTATGTGCCACCCAAGGATTTCTGCCTGGGAAGCAGCTTTTGCCAGCCACAAACAGGTCCAGAAGCAAATCCCGTTGGAAGGAACCTTGAGAATGAGGCAGTTAGATGCGAGTTGCGGCGGAATAGTGTCTGCAGAATCGCACGCCAGGCAAGCTAGAATAACCATAGCCTCATATCATGGCATGGCCCCGCCCCCCAGCACACAGCTGCTAACATAGAACACCTTTGTTCATACGACACTTTTCACTGACTTGCAGAAAAGAAGCTGCGTTTGGAACGTGCTGTGAGTTGCCACACCGAACATGAAGGTTCCGCCAGCAATGAGTTGTCATCACTTCCTTCAAACACAAATTCCACTGCTTCCAAGGCGTATCAAATTTTACAGTACTTTGCCTTTCAGGAGGTGGTTTTGTTTTGCATACGCTTGTTTCAATGCATTTTGCAAACCTTGACTAACATAGAACATAGAACACACAATGCTCCAAGGATCTTGCTTGTAAACCTGTGACACCTCTGGCGTGGTGCAAAAGCCCATGATGCTAAGCTTTTCAATGGCAGTGAGCCAACGTTTCAGCTCCCGGTTGTAGACTTGGTCCACGGTAGTCAGGGTGGACAGGGTCCTGCCAAGAAGCAAGGTTTGCTAAACTGTCCCGGTAATACACATACTACTGTAGTAAAAACACAATGCACGACATTTTCCCACAATGCATGACACCCATTGCTTTTCCGCCTGTTGGCGCCTGTGGTCTTGGCAAAGGAACCACTCTGCTGAGGAACTGCGCAGTGCAATGCCCGCAGGTTCTTCAACACATCATCCTCCGGGGCTACTGTCAGAGTTGGAAAAACTGCTGTAGATGGCTTTTCTACCCACACACTGGTCCATGTTGACTAACATGAACTTGAGACAGGCTTCAAGGCCCATCTCCTTATCCAGCTTTTCCCAACAAGCCTTCAAATTGTTTTCCTCAAACGTTGTGAGCATTTGCCTCAGAAATGGCTCAAACAAAGGGAGGGATCACATCACAGCTGTATATAAACAAACACAAATCACTACCTTAACGTGGAACACCTCACAGAACCCCTATGGCAAACTTTGCCAAGTTTCTCAAAGGATTCTGCATATGGCCGACCCCTTGTGACACATCGTTGCCTTTCAAGACGAAGCCTCAGGCACAAAGACAAACAACATGTTAACCTGAGGCGGGCAAACTTTAAGGCTTAATCTACTGTACTTGCTGTGCTGTGCATAAAAATGTCTTCGGATGTCTGGCCAATACCAAGGCTAGAAACTGTTCCTCATCCGTTTTCCAGAATGTTTCCATGATGCCAACTTGCTGCTTTCTCAGCACCGTGGCCATCCTATCATAGACATCCTGGGGGTCACCCACCCACCTGCCAGCACTCCGTCTGAGTGCCAGAGTCCTTAGATCTTTTGGACCGCACGCTACGTTACTGTAAATGTTCTGGTGTGCTTCAGCATGTGGCATGTGGACTAAGCGCAGGTCCACCCTCTAAACCGGCGGAAACAACCATAGCCACTATCACTGGGAGCTGTATGAACAACCTTCACATCGCAATCCCCATAGTTTGCGAATGTTCTTGTAGCAAGCTCACGCACGGTCCCGGTGCACACGTTCTCGAGCACATGTATCTTGGTGTAGTGCTTGCAATGCCACCTGGAGGTGACAAATGCTGCACACTCCACCCACACGCCCGCACGTTAACATAGAACAATACTACACAGAAAGATGGTGTGCTTCTTGTGTGCTGTAAACTCTCCCAACCACAAATACTGTACAGTAAATGATTGCCTTCATCTCCCACCCCATGGCCTCCAATACACTAATGCCGCTTTTCTGCCTTCTCCTTTGTCCTGGCGCCTGCTGCCCATGCTGCTGTCGTCCTTGCAACTCACTCCAGCCAGATCCTGAGCTGGGAGGTAGAGTATGGGAAAAGGAAAGACAGAGTGCTGCAATTCACCGGTACTGCTGTATTGCTTTTACTGTACTCTTGTTACTCTTGTTTGGAAAGAAAATGCAATTGACAATTGAGATGAGAATCAATATCAGAGCCTATAGATATTGGACAACCCCCCACCCTCAAGGGGTGCCGCAAACATCTTGCATGAGATTGCCAGACCACGGACTCATCATCTAACACTTCATTGATCTCTTGAGAAGTTGTCGCTTGCAGCACTCTCCTGCGGGTGGCTGCATCAATGTAGTCCAGTGCCTGCACTGGATCCAGTTCCATGTTGACGTGCACATGTTGTGTCAGTACATGTGACTCGAGTTTAGGCAACCATATCTTGGGGTGTACTGTATCCAGCCTGAAGTGTCTAATCACTTTGTTCATCCTTGTTCTATGTTGAGCTCATACCACAGTTGTCAAATACCTGCCCAGGCGCATCCCTGAAAATACAATGCTCGCGGAAAAATGGATCACCCAGAAGCCCGCGCTGCACATCAGGGTCATTGTCGCCACAGCTCACCTACTGTGCAGTGGCCACCACCAACACGCGCAAAAGTTCAAATTCCAGAATAAACCAATACACCGGTGAAATCTAATATCAAAAAATATAACCTCCGTGCGCCGTGTTAGTGCGGCTGCATTTGGCTAGTTTGTGCCCTTGAGATTTGGAGCTATGTTAGTATGTTCAATAACTGATACTGTGGGTCTATACTTCTCTTTGCACCACAGCAGCTAAATTGAAGCACGCTCCACAGTTTTCTTGGGCTTGAAGAATTTTGCAAGCCCGGCCGCGTCTCTCCACTGCACAAGACGGGCTTCGCCACCCCCTTGTCCTTGAGGGATTCCGCATACTCCATTGCCACTGCAGGGGCCTGCCAGCCGGGTATATGACTACTGTAACATGGAACTGTACTGTACTCGCTGTTTCGATGTGGCCTGGATGGACAATTTCGAACTAACCTGGAACCACACCGGTATATACAAGTTTGAACCAAATGTTCATTCATGCCTCGCGGCACCAGCGTGCTGCCTCTTCCACAGATTGTCGCGGAAACTTAGACAAGTCAGGGACTGCTCGTGCAGACGGCCATCCAGACACAAAGGGCTGCCCCAGCTCTGTGCGGTCCACACCTGTGCCATTGGCCCTCGTCTTTACACAAGGAATCGTAGTTGGTTTCTCCGAGGGGGCTGTCACCTCCTCAGATATCACCGCGTGCACGTATTTTGCTATGTTAATGTGGCTTCGTGTTTGGGTAGTCTAGGATACACAGGCCTTGTTCTATGTTGATTAGGTCTAGTGTTTTGTTGAGTCTCTCCCTCCCATAGCACACTTTTTGTTCTAGGTTAATGTGGTCAGCACACCCCGCCACAATCTAGCTCTTGTAGTCTAGTTGCACTCGACCTGCCTCCGCCCTCCGCCTTCCTACAAATCAGCTGTACGTGTTCTATGTTAATGTGGCCTCAGGCTTCTTAAATGTGTGCCCCCCCCACTATTTAGCTGTTGTAGCCTGGTTGCACTCAACCTGTCTCCAAACAAGCTCTCTCCATCGGTATCTGCAAATTGAACGATCGTCTCCTGGTGAGCCGCTGGCTGAATGACCCACTCCCAAAATGGTGGCAATTCAAAAACATCAACAGTCCTCAGCCTCATCATCATCTGGTGATATCTCAGCCATCAGTTCCCAAGCGTACACCCAGTACGCTACAGGCGCACAGAAATGCTAGAGATAGCCGAAATGCTACAGGCGCACACACTAACATAGACCACCCGAGGTGGCTCGAAACATGCTTTCGATTATGCCACGTTAGACTCTCCAGCGTCCAACCTTACCCAAATTTCTCCGGTTTGTTTCCACAGCTTTTCAATACTAACATAGATCCAAATCTTAAGGACACGCACTAGCCAAAAGCAGCCACACTAACACGGCACAAGGATTTTTTCCTTTTTTTAGAGATGTTAGATTTCACCGGTGTAACCACCCACATAGCCATTAACCGCTTTGGCCTAGTAAAAGCAAAACCACCGCGGACATGAACCAGCGGAACGGTCCCTGTGACACTGCCTGAGGTATAAACTATGGTAAACTAGCCGGAGCTAGCTTGCTAAACCTTGGAAAACTCAAACCAAAGTTTCCGTCCAAGTGTTCCATGCATGATTGCATAACGTATCATAACGTAATTGTTTTCAAACATCGGCAGAAAACACATTCAAAAGCAGTTGGAACCCCACAAAATCCTCAAAGTTTTCAAGGTTCCGCCCAATCTCCAGCAGCAGCATCACCTCCGCGAACCAGGTTGGGCTGTCTTCACAAACACACAAGGAACATAATTAGCACATGGGTCACATGCACAAAGTCTTCACACCACACCTGGAAGAGCAACCCGAGCACTTGAATCACAAGCCACCTGGAAAACACACAATGTGAACTTGTAAGTGAATGGCTCCTGGGCCCATGGAAGTTCCTTCATCCTGAATCCTTGTTTCAGCGAACGGGCTGGGAATGCTTCCTGATTTATCCAGAAGCCTAGCTTGTCAACGCAACATCGACATCAAACAGCAATTAACATGTTTGTTGGCAAGCGCGTTGCGCAATGCTCCAATGAAACATACAAGCGGACCCATCCAGGCCATCCAACTCTGAGTGAGAACACGAAGTTGATGCGCGAACCATTGCGCAATGTCCGCAATGTTGCTATCTCGCAATGTGCCCTTTGTATTGTATGGTTTGCTGCGGCTTTGCCTTTCTAATCCCATTCAACCTCTCTCGTGATCCCCTCCAAACCCCAGCATCGTCCTTCCAATGCCCTTCACTCCCCTATGCTTCTAGTGGTTCCAGCTTGCTACGTCGATCGAACCAATGACTTCGTCAGCTGGAGAGGGCCAGTTCCAAGAGTTTTTGTCGGTATCTTGGCACGTACACCTGATTTGCGTCAACCGGGTGGCTGTGTTCACCTTGCCGTACAACAGTCCCGTTGATGAATCGATTCTTCTGTTAGTTTGCACGCGCCTGTCCTCGAACAACCAGCACGCCCTATGAGGCTTGTGGTTGCGTAGGTTTTGCTTTGCAAAGGATCGGCGACGTTGGGATTCCTGCGGGCGCGAGACGCGCGTTCACAGCCATGATGCTGGCTGGGCCTGAGCTCAAAGTCAACAGTCATGGACCGTGACCAGAGTGGCAGAGTGGGCTGTCTAAGCCAGGCGCTTACCACGCTTCTTGTGCGTAAGTGCTGTTTCCACAACTTCTGGCCACACCAAAAGTTCAGACTTGTCCAAGTGTGGAACACTGTGTGGAACGCCACCTGCGCTCTTGCAAGCCGTCTCGGTAGCAGAGTTCGGAATTGTCACTGGTCAAATCTATAAGAATTCACGACAGTCAGCCAATAGAGCCAAACCCCCAAATCGCAGGCAGCACATAATACAGAGGGCTCGCAACCACAAAGATTGAGTAGAAACTAGAAACATAACGAACACAGGACCACTTACTGTAGGTCTTGGTTCAGAGACTGACTTACTTGCAGCCCGAGCGCAGAGGTAATCTCAATGTTGCTACTTGGGGGAGGGTTGTGGTTGGGTACAGTGTGGAGTCCATGCAACTTAGGGCTTTGGTTTTGCCATGATATGAGAGCCTGTAACCAACCGAGAAGAAGTGAAAACATCATCCCAGCATGCAAGCACAGGAACTACTTTGCTGGAGGATGCTGAAGCTTGGACTCTAGCAGGAGTGGTTAATCTCAATGTTTTTACTTGGGCAAGCATGTCTTATGCATAAGAATTGGTCATGGGATGTCGTGGGTAGGCACTTGTGCTTTGCAAACGCCACAGCTTGGCAAAATTTGCACGGCGTGTGTGATGGCATAGAGGCCAAATCCAGGCTATCGGACACAGCCTGCTCGTATGCGCGATGTTCCATGACCGGACGTTGACTGGAGTTGCAGGTTGGGGTAGTCAGGATGATGTTGAGGAAGGAAGTCCTGTGTTCTCCTGCCTCAGGGATCTCCAGCTAATTGACCCTGCTGGTGAGCTCTCTCGTGTTGATTGTTTGACGTTGAGTGGGCGCAAAGCATTCAGCACAACCTGCACCTGCACACGGCAGCCCCATGGAGTGGCTGCCGCATTCGCTCGTCAAGAACAAAGCCGGCGCAAGACCACGCCTTCGGAACTTTGCCTGCTCTTCTTCAGCCTAGAGTCAGCACGCATCCCAATGATGCTTGTAGCGCAGGAATGAAAACTGCCCGCGGCTGCCACTTACCAAGGATGAACTTGGCATATAGCATGTCGTTCAAGGTGTGCTACTCAAGAGAGAACTTGACCAATGCCCAACACCAAGTCTCTCTGACGTGCTCAGCAAGTGACTTCACTGCAAGCACACGAGCGCACACAGGCTGGGGTCCCACCCCGGTGTTTGCGGAACCCTATTCCAACCCGTACCGAAGACACATTACATGATTACAAAACACTTTACATGATTCCAGGAATCAGGAATGCATGGTACAGAGCGGCGTGCGCATTGAACATGCAATCTCGCGGTGACAGAACCCTCTGCAACATTATAATGACAACCCCTTCCTTTGCCGAAAGCAAACCACAAGTCCTCCCGGTGATATGGTTTGGGTCCTCCCCCGAATGAACAGCAACCTGCTCTTTCAGCGGCAAGCCAGTCGGCCTTCCTCCAAATTCTTTAGATCGGAATTTCTTCTGGACACCTTGCGCCCAAATTTACCCTTCAACTCGTCTTCGCTCTTCAGACCCAGCAAGGGCAGGACTATTTTTCCACAGTTGAACTTCTTCCTCATGTTCATCGGCCATTGCAGGGTGACGGTCACACGCGTGCTTTCACACGCTCTTAGATGCTTGCAACATTTAAGATCAGGGGCTTGATGGGTTCGTTCAGGCTGAAGGCTCAGAGTTTGCTCAAGAAATTTTCTTGTGTCGCGCTTGATGTGTTGGTTAAGCGCCCTCCTGATTTAGCCGAATGAATAAAGGTCTTGGTCAGAAAGAGGTTTCTTGTCGCCCGTATAGGATTTCTTGTCAGAAACAATACCAGTCTCGGCGTGAGTGCAATTTTTTTTTGCGCCAGGAAGATGCCAGAAATGCCAGGCGCAGTAGTGATGGCTTGTTGATGACCAACAAGTGGATTCGTTTGTTCTATACAAATATATATACTTGCTTGAGGAAGCTGGCGGCAGATTGTTGCAGTTCGCAACTTGGTGTTCGTATTGCATCTGAAGCTAACAGGCATGAAGACACGCATCAAGTACACAAATATATGGGATTCCTTCCGGCACCGTTGGAGAAAAAACACACAAGCGCCTTTTCCACACACAGGCCGCTGCGCTGAACCCTGGCCTTACTATAAAAGTGTTCATCGCATCTATCTGTGGTCATGCGGCTGATTTCATGCGCGCCGCATATGTATTTGTGCGAAGACTTATAGCCGGCGACCCGGCAAACACAGCCCCAATTCCACGGTCCTAGAGTAGAGTTCCAGGGTTCCAAAGTTTTTCGGGTCTTCTTCTTCGTCCTCCAGAGTTCTCCTAGGTTGCAGGGTTCCAGAGTTCGAAGGTTCCAGGGTTTTCCTTTTTCTGCTTCTGGTTTCAAGCACTCCGGGCATGTTGGCCCGGAAAACCACATGGCCCACCAGTGCAATCGGTTTCATCAGGACCATCGCACTGCCATAGGCATCACAGCATTTTCATCGGCGTCACAACATTGTGATCGGATGACCATATGCTTTTGATTGGCATAGGGGGAGGAGGGAGGGGGCGCACGTCGCACTTCATGATTGGTACCATAACACCGTCATCGGAGTCATCGGTATTATTGTTGCTATTGCATTCACAACCGTGTCAGCAGTCTCCCAACGTTGTCAAAGTGAGGGAGGGAAGGTGGGGGCGGGCCGTCACAGTTGCGATCCGTTCGATAACTTTGTCATTTTCTGCAACATATCAAACTTGTTATTGGTACAGTTATGACAGCATTGAAATAGTGAAATAGTAATCAGTATCACAACATTGTCAACAACATCACGGAATTGTCATCGGTATCGCAATTTTGCCATCGCTTTGTCGCTACATTGCCTGTGGCAATATGTTCAATCAATGACCTGAAATATGGAAGAAACAAGTCATGCAAATTGTCCAACACGCGTTGCTAGAAGAAACGCAGCAAGAAGTCAAACGTAGAACTCATGGTTGTCTGGATGTAAGAACACACAACAAACACGCGTATCTTTTCATTTCAGTGGTGCATGATGGAAAACATACTTAGCCCATTTGAATTACCATGCAAATGGCCACAGTGCTTCCAAAACACGCGGGTTTTCGACCCGTACGGTTGTTCCTGCGTTTAAGGGTCAAGTCATGCGGTCATGTCGCGTGATGTCTTTAGTAGGAACGTGCAATTCGTGCACAAAACTCTTGGTTTCCGCGCGCAAGCACCACCGGTGCCTTTATCCTTCTTGGCTTGAAGTCATCACAACAAAGGGTCAGCCAACGGACCTCACAACATGAAGTTTTCTCAAGAAGGACGGCCCCAAACCATTGCCCCCCTGAGACCAGTGAAGCACCGTTTTTTGCTATATAATTCAAATCAAAAACCATTTAACAACGTTGGCAGCGACATGTATATACGTCCATCACCTCGTTTCGTGCTCACTGCTGTACCATGGTATATTAATTCATGTTCGGCAAAAACCTTTCCATCATCTCTTGCTACAGGGCATACACCAAGTTTTGGGCTGGATCTGTGTCATCCGATGTTTCCAGCCACCTGTTCAGGTAGCCAGCACGCTGGCTGCCGCCAGCCATCAGCCAAGCGCATTGCACAACTGACCCTGGTTGCTAGCTCACCCAAGCAGATCAATTCGGCCAGAACTTGTTCCTGAAATTTCAGGCCTGGCCTTCCCACTCTTTTCAGCCACACATCCGGGTTTTCAGCCTTATTGACCTTGGCGCAGCCGAGGATGCCAACAAAAACCTGCACGTGCACAAATTGCGTCCATCGATCTTAGAGTCCCACTGCTCCATACAAACTGCCTCTCTGCCCTGCAGCGCGGGTCCCGGCCAAGAATCGTTCCCCAAAACACACTCTCTGCTTTTCCCTAACCTCGCTCTGCATCAGCTTCCTGCACGGCAAACTTGCCAAATAGTGCTTGACTCTGCAGCTGCTGGCAAAGCGTGTTTCTACAATGTTTAGCTGCGGCGGCGGCCCACTTCGTGGGTCAAACTTCTTCTGTACCACACCACTGGGGGCAAGCTGCTCGTCCAAAAGCCGCAGGAAACACATTTAAAAATATGCAAAACAGGCGAAACACTTTTCACCGAAAAAAACACGCTGTTGGCTGTGCTACAAGTAGATGCAATTGGATCCCCTTCCCATCATCCCCTAGGTCGATACCGTTGCAGGATGGCCCTGTGCTCTTTGTGTTGGCACAGAATCACAGTGTGCGCACCTTGCGTCAAGAAAACCATACGACCCACCTGGAAGACCAGCGCACTTGTGAAAACATTGTGCCAGCCAGGAGCTTTCTGAAGGCTGCTTGCCAAACAAGCCCACAAAAATTAGTGAGTGTGAGTGTGAGAGTCAGTGCGACAGTGAGAGTGAGAGTGAAAGTGAAAAGTGAGAGTGAGAGTGAGTGAGTGTGAGTGCGAGTGTGAGTGAAAGCGAGAGCACAAAGTACTGCGCCTGCCACGAAACCTGACTTCGAGGTTCACAAAGTGCTGCCTGCCACGAAATCTGCACTCTGAGGCTCACAAAGTGCTGTGCGTGCCACAAAATCTGCACTTCGAGCTTCGCAAAGTGCTGCGCCTGCCACGAAATCTGCAATTTGAGGTTCACAAAGTGCTGCGCCTGCCACGAAATCTGCGCGTCGAGGTTCACAAAGTGATGCCCCTGCCACGAGATGTGCACGTCGAGGTTCACAAAGTGCTGTGCCTGTCACGAAATGTGCACGTCGAGGTTCACAAAGTGCTGCGCCTGCCACAGAATCTGCAAACGATCCAAACGTCCAAAAGTCGCGACTCACGAAATCAGAGCGCCTCGAAGATCACCACCATGTCCAAAGTGCTGCGCCTGCCACGAAGTCTGCACTTCGAAGCAAAACCGCTCCGATCCCTTGCGCCTGCCACGAAAAGTGACCACCATGTGCGAAAATGCGCGCGGCGCCACAACGAGAGCGCAGGCGCGAGAAGCACCGCCGTGCCCACGCAGATCAGATTCTGCGAGCCGAAATGCACTCACGATCCCCTTACCGTCCAAGCCGACCAGCGGACCGGCGCACCAGCGGACCAGCGGACCGGCGGACCAGCGGACCAGCGGACCGGCGAACCGGCGGACCAGCGACCAGCGGACCAGCGGACCAGCGGACCCGCGGACCGGCGAACCGGCGGACCGGCGGACCGGCGGACCAGCGGACCAGCGGACCGGCGGACCGGCGGACCAGCGGACCAGCGACTGGCGAACCGGCGAACCGGCGGACCAGCGGACCAGCGGACCAGCGGACCGGCGGACCAGCGGACCGGCGGACTGGGGCGGACCGGAGGACCCGCGGACCGGCGGACCAGCGGACCGGCGGACCAGCAGGCTGGCGAACCAGCTTCGGCGGACCAGCGGAGCAGCGACCAGCGGACGAGCGGACCAGCAGTGCAGGCAACGACCAGCGGATAGCGGCTAAGCGGACCAGCGGGCGCCAGCACTTGACATAGAGTCCCACCCTTCCCACCAATTGCCTGCGCCACCAACAGGCCAGCGGACCAGCGGAGATAATAATGGTGGTGGTGATGGGTGTTTTGGTTGTTGTTCTTGTTGTTTTTGCTGCTACTACTGTTTCAGCCCGGGACACTCAATGCGTCCTTGGTCAGGCTTCGCCTTGCTGCTTCGCCGCTTGGCATTTGGAGGCGCGGTGGGAGTTTCGTCTGGCTGTACTAATGAAGTCAATCGCTTTGCCAACAGCTTGCTGCCTGTGTCGCCCATGGTATGAGCCTTTTCACTTGGCCGCATCGTCTTCTTTCATCCTCAAGCTGCTGGCCTTGTCTCTTGATTTCTTTCATCGGCGCATGATTGCAACCGCGGTCGAAAACATGACTTGCAAACATCTACCGTGCTTCTGCTTTTGAACCAGCATGCAAGTATGCAAGTTGCCGATTGCAAGCGCGAGACCCGCAAGCCACCCTGCTATCAGCAAACATCAATCTAGCATTTTCTTTTTTTCATGCAGCTGCAATGACGAATCCACAGCATCAGTGCCATGGGGTCCTTGCGCAAGCCATTTGTGACGCTGACCCGGCTGCGCAAATTTCGCCAGAACTAGTCCATCATTTGGCGACCAGATTAGAACCGCTCTTCAACCAAAGGGTTGCTGTTTTCGGCCGGGAAAGCAAAGCTCAAGAATTGGTGCCGCAGCTTGTTGCTTGCCCTGGGTGCGGAGGACGACTTGCTGAATGTCGGAGCTCCGCTGCTGCAGCTATCGTCGTAGATCTGTCGGGTTTGGTCCAGAAACAACACATTCCACTGAGATGTCGGCGATCCTCCTGTCCAGACTGTGGTGTGCTGCTGTGGTACAACTATACCGTGCGGAGTGGGTGCCATCATTTTGCAGGAGAGCTGCCTGAGTTGAACTGCTTCATGTTGTCCGCCACCTTCGGCTTCAGTGTCCCCTGGTTGCAACAGTTTCACGTACGCATGGTGAGGCAACATGCGTCTTTCACAAGTGAAGCAGATGTGCTCGGCGCGCAGGCAGCTTACAATTCCCAGCTCCATCTCTTACCAACAGCTCGATTGCGGCTTCTCATTAGCCAGGGGTGGTTTCCTTGGCGTCTCCTCACCCGGGTGCACCAAAGCAATTTGGACCTAGCATCTTTTGATTTCTTGCGGCCCATGGAGGACATGATTGGCTTATTCTTGCCGCAGTTGCAAAGAGAATTTGGCAGGACTACCTTGGAGGAAGCCCAAAAAGCCACGATGCGCTGTGACGTTGTTGTGCTCGATGGCAATGCAAAAAATCGTCGAGCTGTTTGCGGAGCCTCATTGGCCGGAGAAACTTTTTCCAAGGAATTGCGCCGGGTGGTCCGCCACAACTGTGCCAATACTCCCGCTTTTCGGAGATGCTTCTGTCCCGCCCATTGCAGTCAAGATGATCAATTCCAGGCGGGGGGGCAAAGCATTTCCAACCGCAAAAATGGGTAAAGTTTTTCTTTTTCAGCCACTCTGCCTCAGGAAGTGACCATTCTTCAGCACAAGCTCATCAATGACGGACAGTGCTTGATGGTCTTGCTGAAAGAGACTGTGGAGCCTCAAAGAGAAGCTTGGGTATCCGATTCTGCAGTTCCAGCGTCTGTCCTGTCCAACTATTTGCAGCAAGTGGGCGAGGCGAAGTTGAAACCCAGCAAACGCCCACGGCGAGAAGAGGAGGCAGACGGCAGAGGCGGCTCTTCCTCATCGCTTGGACCTTCGATGCTTGCGAGTTTAACGTTGCAAGAGATTGGGCGCTCGTCCGACCCAACAGATTTGCAGTGCGTGACTTGCTGCACACACAAGGAAGGCAGCGCTGCTCAAAGGCAGCTTGCCAAATCTGCTGGAATGTTGTGCGCGTGTTTGTCTGAGGGTTTGATTTTGCACATGCAAGAAATCTACGGCTGTGAGTCGTTGAGCCAGAGATACCTATGTCTGGCGTCTGTGAAAGCCCTCTTGCCGTCCCTTCGCGTGGTGGTCCACGATGATGCTTGCCATTTGCACAAGTACGCGGCTCGTCGCGCCCAGGACGGAAACTCAAAGGGGATGACAAAGCCACGAAATTCTTTGGGCAGTGAGAGCTATAAGCACCGTGCTAGTGTTCTGTTGTTTCTTGCGTGAATGCGTTTCACGTTTTATATTGCCCATGCGCAGGATTCAGAAGCTGCTGCCCAGATAGCCCCGCCAGAGATGAAGTACGTGTGCGACAAGTTCCACATGGCTGGCCATACCGATGCTTGGTGTAAAGAGACGTGCGACCCAGCCTTGCCTGCAAACGCTTCTCTTCTTCAAGGCATTCGGACTTCGGTCTGTGAATTCACTTTTACCTGGTTGAGCAAGTACAAGCACCAAACCAAGCACATGAACAAGCACGGCTTCCAATTCTTCTTGCTCGATATGGCGTGGAGCCACAATGAAATTATACTCCAAGGAGGCTACAGACCAGAGGAGGTCGCCGGCTCTGCGGCATTGGAAGGGACCGACTGACAGTCTAAAGTTAAGATTTAGGATTTCAAGCGCGGCCTGTGCCTTATAGACTGGATCGAAGCTGTGGAATGGAAAATTCATGGTGTGTCGTACCCGCTCATTGCATCGACCTGTTGCTTCAAACGGCTACATATCACGCGGTACATGACTCTGTCAGTGCGCATGTGCAGATGCCTCGCTTTGAAACCAAACTGTTTTGCGTAGCTTCGACTAAGTCTGACTAAAGTGTTCCAACAAAGCCTTGCATGATGGCCGTGACAGCCGCGTCTGCTCTGAGCTCGGTGGCGCGGCCAAGCCATGTCGTCAGTTCTGGGGCCCTTGTCTGGAGCCCACGAAGACAGACAGTACATCCCTGCCATGAATTTGATGTGGGATGAAGTGGACAAGTGCTTCGACCCAAGCTACATCCTTGGAGAAGCTGGGCACCGCTTCTGCCAAACATACGCTGTTAGGGCAGCCCATGCAGAATTTCCTTACGCCCTCCACTGCTTGTCGCTGATGTGTGCTCTTGTGAACGGTGCCAAAGTGGCTGTCTTTGCTACCTCGCCATCGCCTTTGACGTTGGTTGCAATTAATGTCAACTACGCCCAGACGAGAAAATCATCCTTGACAGGACATGCAGAGGCTTGTGGGCAGGAGTTGGACGCAGTCATCTTGACGAACGCGGAGTCCAAGCTGGCGACATATTGTGTGGAAGAAGGCGCTCCTGCGCCAGTGCAGCACAGGTGTGAGCGGGCTGTTGAAACAGGGGGCTGGGAAGTTTTAGGTGTTGAATTCTAACCAAAAACGAGCCCGCCATTTGTGCCAGGTTGAAGCCGAAGCTATTCTCCGCAATGGTTGCCAGCGCAACACCTGAGGAGTGGTTCCATCGATGCTCGGGCGATTGGAACCAGGTCCGAAATGCTGACA